ATGCTGATTATTTTCTTAATTTTAATTAAGAATATCTTTCTTTCCTTGGTTGCAAGCTTTTTATTCCAGTCTTCTATTTTACATTAAAATTCACATTAATTTTATTAAGTTCATTTTACATCCAGTTACATTCATTCAGGTAAAATCGTATCAAATAGTTCTCCGTAATTTTACTACTCATATAAATGGAAGAATGAAATTCTCTTAAATATCAGCATCAATTAAAATGTTTCGCAAGTATAATCAAAAAATAAGGTTAAAAATGTAACAGAGTAACAAGTAAGTGAACAAAATAAATAGGTATTTCAACTTTTCTATGTGTAATTTTCGAACGAAAGTTTGCACGCATATTCAAGTGGGATACTCGAGGCGATCCCGAGCGAACAATTTTAAATCGGAACATACGGAACTTTCGTGGAAAATGTCAGGACGGAAGTCGTGAAAATCGCGGGCCGACTGCGCGGAAACCGTGGAAATAACAGAATTGTCGTTTTTCTATGGCTTCTGATCGCGCTTTCGGCCTTAAGCTTCCTTTCCCTTTTGTAACAGGATCGGTGAAACAAAAGAACGAGGGTAAAGTTTGGCGGTAGAGACAGGATTAATGCCCACCGCGAGGGAAGCTTTCGAAAGCTCCGGATCCGGAATGGAAACGGCGACAACGAGCTACGGGGGATTTACTCTGTGAAAGCAGAGGGAAATGGTCGAACAACGAGCCCATCTGCTGATACAATTCCAATTGACCGTTGTTGTCTGCATAAAAACATATTTGAAACATATGAATTTTCGCTCTTTAATATAATCATCTAATAAATTTATATTACAAAGTGTCTTTCGTGATTCAATGTTATTTCGATATCTAATTTAATCAGAAATATATCAGCGCAATTGAACATTTTTTGAAAAGGAAATTTATATTATAAATGTTCGTTCTTAAAACGAATTTAAATCATAAATTGCTTTTTGCGATCCAACGGTATTTTGATATTGGAGAAATTAATTTAATAGAAATATATTGGAAGAATTTACGTCCTACATCCGGTTACCTCGAATTTAATATATCTATCGTTAAATGAACAAGAACTCGGTAGATTTATCGGCGTTCATCGATAACGTTATCGTCATCGATAGCTCCTGCCACGGCACTTGGCAAGACACAGCGGCTGTTACGCATCCAAATGCAATTATTTATCGGCCCGTGAAAATAGAATGCTCGCGGTCGTGCTATATATAATAGGTGCACGTAGCTGACAAATACGAGCCAGTAACACGAATTCGATGTAGCAATTAATAATGACGAACGAGCATGCCGACCTCTTAGTCATCGTTCGAGTACCAGCTAATACCAACCAAGGGTCACCGTGTCGAAGCGACATAGAACTGCAATAACCGAGTAATTAACACCCGAGGAGCCAGACATCGCATAAACATTAATCACTTCGACGTGGTATTTAAAATCTCATGCGCTAATAAACTAGAGTAGAATCTTGTAACTTCTGTAACAGGATAACCTAGCTTCTAAATAATGAAATCAAAATCAGGAACAAAATATTCTGTCCAATGGAAAATTGAATTAAATTATGGGAGTAAATGTTGGATACGATATTTCTTGGGAATCGATTAACTTCGAGGAAATGAATTTTCAAGACCTTTGCGACCTTGCATCTTCAAAACGATTTATAACTTGACCGATAATGTAATTTTACCAAAATTCGTCTTAAGGTCAGTAAGGTCGGATGAAGTTAAAAGATATTTAGAAATTGATCACCTTTGAGAAAATAAAATTCATAAGAATATTTAAAATCTCCTATGTTTGGAATTATTTATAAATTGGTCTATTACGTAATTTTATCAAAAGATTTCTTAAAACCAATATAACCAATTTCCTATATTGTTACAGTCGATATTATCGATCTATGCATTTAGATATAGCCAGTTGTAAGTTTAAAGAGATCTTCTCTCGATTTCGCAATGTTCAAAGAAATGTAACGATGCTAATAAGATAGAAGTTGTGCACGTAGAAGCTTAAGCAAGAAGTTTCTTGCATGTCGCATCCTCGTGTCGTCGGTCAACACGGAAGTGAACCGAACCCTTGAATGTGCAAACATTGAGAAAAAGAGAGAAAGAGAGAGACGTGATGTACGCTATAAAACACAGAGAATTCTTGCTGAAGACGAGGTACGTGGTGCATCTCTATGTATACGTCGATTAGCCACGGCAATAAAGCATTTTCATGACGCGACACGCTGTAAAATTTATCAGGCGGGATCTTAGTCGTAATAACGTCTCTTTGGCACGCCAATTAACCAGTGCAATAAATTGCTTTTTCCCTGTTCCTGCTGGCGAATGCGCACTTTAAATTGCGAGGGAGCTTCGTGGATGACCTACATTTTTCGAATAAATTGGAAAATCCATGCTGCACCAAGAATTCAAACGTTTCATCCGACTTTTGATGGAATTTGAATTATTTAATTATGCTGCTTGTTAAACTGATATTCGACTAGATATCGTTATTGGATTAATAAGAGAGACGTTTGAAAAACATTTCTTCAAACAGTTGGGAAGAATACGAAACTATTCATTGCAGAATAAAAAATTTGTTTTAGAATTTATAAAAGTCATAGAAATATCTAGTTGGCTAAATATTCTGTACACGATGACTAATATACAATTTCTCGCTAGTCATTCTATTTTATTTTCAAACCACCGCGTTGATAGTACAGTCTGGAATAATAAACATTTGCTAAAAATACGTTTCGAGTTATTGCCCCGTTTCTTCGTTAATGTCTATTTTCAGATGAAATATTTTGGACATTTTTAATGAGGATCGAATATATTGGTATAATATTGGGAAAATGTCATTTTCAAATGGCGCTATTTACATCTCAAAGATATCAACACTCCATGATGTCAGATATCGAGATTTCTAACTTCTGTATAATTCAATGAAATTAGAGAAACGAATTGAAAAAGAAAGAATGATCTCTTGTACTTCCATTCAGAATCGAATTTTCCATGACATGCATTCCGTGATATCAGAAACGCGTGATGTCACGACGAGAAGGATTTTATACCGTGAGATTAATTAACAGACAGCAAGACCGAGATCTATTCCGGTCGAGGTCGACTATGTTTAGAGAATTCGAGAATGTTTACCTAATATAGAGCTAAGTAATCGTCGTGCTATCGATTGCACGAATTTTGGCCAGACTTTCTGTAAGCTCAGGTTCTTTATTCCCTCGTAATTGCGGCGCGATTTACTTGGCAATCGACTTGCTTGGCCACTGCTCAGGCTTTTAGGCGACCACAGTCGATGCAACGCACCCCTCGAACGACTCCGCGAAAAATAAATCGATAACATCCTCCAATATCAATCACATTTAAAAAACTGAATTGTAAAACGAGTGCAAACTGTTATACCTCTCCTAAACTTTATAACAAGCAAAACTATAAGAAATTCCAATAAGAAGTTTCCGATAGCACAGTCCCTCGCATCAGCCATATTTACACGCAAAAGAATTGCTGATTGATCTTAAAAAAGATTAAAAAGCTATCATAGCGTTATAATGTAAATCTTCATCTCCATTTGTCAATATTATAAAGAACTTTTAATATATAATTAAAATCGTTCTCAAGAATGCCCCGATTTCAAACATCCACTGCATCAGCACGTTTTTCCCAAAACCAAGAAATAAGGCAACATAGAACGTGAAAGAAATTGCGCGATAACGATCGTTTTCTCATAACGCAGCGTTCGAAAAGAAAAAAGAAAAAAAAAGGGGGCACTTATCGAGGTTGGATAATGTTTCCAAGTAACGCGGAATGTCACGTTGGAAAACGTCTTTCCTTGTTATCGTTGAGCGACGAATTTTTATCAAGCACGGCGCGATAACGTGCAACACTTTGCCAACGAAACTCGCTCGACACCGTAGTCTCCTCCTCTGTAAAAACCGATCGCAAAATCGCTGCTCGCTTCGTTAATTAACGATCGTCAGATGCTGCGTGGCCGCGGTTTCAAGAGACTCGAGCACGCTCGTAAGCCGACCTTTGCAGCGTTCGCAAAAATCCTGGCAGGAATTACGCTCGAGCATATATCAGCATGTCCAACGTGGAAAATAATTACGTGGCATGCAGCCACGTTGAACCGCGGTTGCTTCGTTCGAGGGTTACGCTTCGTGTTCGACGTTGAATGATCGATACGATCGGTTATCGCGACGTTACACACACGATGCTTGAGAATTTCTGACGAGAGAGATGAGAAACAGGATCATTTCACGAGCGTTCCAGGATCTTCGACTTGTGAAAGTGTTCACTGACAGCCTATGGTTCATATTTAAGTTTTTTACTAAGCTGCCTTAAAAAAAGACTAATAAAGAGTGCAAGTATTTCCATTTCACAGGCAACGAACATTGTTAATTAAAATTTATGACGAAGGAAAGTAACCAAGAAAATGTTTCGTCATCGATGACTGTTATTGATAATTAATGAAATGTTTCTTCATAGATAACAGCTATCGGTAGTAACAAAAGACAATTTCTATCACCGATATTAATCACCAGTAACAAAAAAAATATACAGGGTGGTTGGTAACTGGTGGTACAAGCGGAACGGGGGTGATTCTACGCGAAAAAAGAAGTCGAAAATATAGAATGAAAATTTTTTTTTCTTTTTTTAATTTCTCCATCGAAACAATGATCTACAGTGAGATCCGTTATAACGAGATGTGATAAAGTGCACGCGTACCGAGCGAAAATTCAAAGTCGATATTCTCGAGAACAAAGCCTCAAACCCTGTATATATATTTCAGCGGTTATAATGATTGTTCGCAAACAGGATTATCGAAACTGACATATGAATTCTCGTACAATGACAATGGGAAATTTGGATTACAAGGTAATTTTCTATTACTCGATAAGATAGTAGGAAAAAATACTATAAAATCTATAAAATCTATAAAATTCCATAAACAATCAAGGATATACTTAATATTACAACAATCGGTATTTTTGAAATACTCAATTCGACGGGAAAATTCGTATTTAATCTCACGATCAAACAAAAGAACATTTAACATGAAACTGATTATCGAACTTTTAAATTCATCAGCATTGTTATTACGTTCTCTCGTTCTATGATCTTCAATTCTAATTGTGTTTACTACCATCATTATCTTAATAAGTATCAAATCGATACCTTTACATGTATCCACATACAATTACATAGATTTTACATACACGTGGCTTTAGAATGTCTGAAGAGAAAAACAAGAGGATTGTTTCATGAGAGATTCAAGACCTTCGACCAACGGAAGCGTGTTCGCTTATAGTCGAAGGTTCAACGATCGTCTATCGATCGAAGATCCTTGGCTTGGCGTGTTTGTTCTGCTTTGTTTGCCGGACGAGAACGCGGAATGCCTGAGACACGAGAGGTCTTCGCGTTGGCCCGTCGACGACATACGTTGGCCCGAGTTCGATAGAGTTCATCCAAGCTGGCGTTTTATGTGCTCGACGTTGATATCGAGTCCCATGATCTAGGTCAGCGGGTCGGGAATCGATAGATGGGACAGAGATGAGAACGAGGCCTAAATTAGAGCTCGAGGGAGTCGATAGGGTGGACTATCGTTCCTTTGGACTTTTACAACTCCTTGTGAATTGGAAGCTACCTGTGTCTCTATATTTTTAGAGCTTTGTTTCTGTAGGCTTATCATTGTGCCATTGTATCGTCTACAGGATGGTTCATTCATGTTATAGTAATTATTGGTTCTTCTTTTGTTATATCGATAATGAGAATTTTTGTTTGTAATTTTTGCAATCCGCGAATTTTTACGTTCCAATTTCACTTTAATTTCAAGAAGAATTTCAAGTAAGAACTTCTAATTGTTCAAAATATAATACCAGTGCGATATTGAAATGAGAAATTATGACTATCGATAATTAATCTATCGTATTTTTGTCAAACTTGAACAGTATATTAAGAATAGAAAAATGAGATTGCGCGTGGATCGAGAAAGGAACGCATCAAAAGTAATCTGTAATTTTTACTCTGATTTGGTTTTTGGTATGGTATGTACTTTGTGTTACACAGAGTTAAGCGTAATTTGAGTTAAAGTATAATGAATCTTGACTTCAGACTTTTCATAGAATTGCTATTGAAACTGAACTTTATTCCACTAGGGATGGTATTTCCTACATAATTGATGCACCTACATACGCCTTTTCGTATGCAAATGCACTGATGCAATACGTACGTCATCCACGTGTAATTATTCGCAATAAATTATCAATTGCACAACGCGTGTCTGCAGAATACAATTTGGCACACGTATTTGTACTTTAGATGTTAGCGAAAAACAGTTGCTGCAGTTACTCAATGATCTCAGATGTTCTAAAGCGGAACTATCAGCGTGACCTAAGTGTAATAGTTTCGTGCAAGACAGTCAGGAAAAATTGTTTACGCGCGTATTTCGTGAATTTTAGAGAAGATAAGATTCGTGAATAAGATTCGAAATTTACTATACGTTGCGTAGCACCGTGTAGTGACAGGAGATTAGCTTGAAAAATTGTACAGTGCTTACGAAACAACAGAAAGATTTGTAGTCGCTAAGGTTTTGAAATATTTCTGTTATATCAAACTTTTGACGTAGTTTTAACGAGATTTTGCGGAACAAAAAAGCTATTGAAGTTTTATGAAGATAAAAATTACTCGAAAGAAAGAGATTAGAAAAGGAAACAAATATAAAGGATAGAATTACTGAAAAGAGAAAGGAATAAAGAAATTTTTATTCAAATGATTGCAGCTTCGGGAATCAATTTTTTCCATACATTTTCATATTTAAAAATTATATTCTCTCCAAATAGCAATCTACAGAATATAAATAAAAATTCAGGGGTTCCATAGCGAGGTTCAAAGTTAATCTGTATGAAGCTCGATGGAAATCGTGCAGTTTTAAATATTACTGGCAGTCTGCGTGATAACGCCCAACGAGCAGAGAGGAGACAAGTTGCGACAGATGTCAATTTCCACGATGGCGTGAGTTTTGTCGATAACGACGCTAACAGGAACAACAATTATTCCGCTCCCTCGCTCCACATTTTTGTTCCCTTGTTTCAATTAATTCCTAGATGTGTATGAATTAAACACATCTGACGAACTTAATTCTCTTTAATAAAATATGAACGCGTCGCGTTTTAACAGAAACATATTAGACGTTACGTGACGTTGCTTTACTACTGTTTTAATAAAATTTTAACGTAGTTAATGTATATCCAAGTATCAATTAACAAAGTTAAAAATAATATTCAATTGTCGTATAATAAAATTAAATTTTATAAATTTCGTCAATCATTTTATCATGCATTATAAATCACTGACTATAATAATTCATACTAGAAAGCAGATGCTATCCTTATATGAGAATATCTTCGAAGTTACTTGTGGTAAAGTATACCTAACGAGCAAATTTAACATCTCTCATCCAACATCAGGTTTTATGACTTCGAGGTTTATACTATAGAAATTGCAATACTCTCCAGGATACTAAAACTTTTTCTCACAGTGATCCGTGATTGCTTCTAAAATTTTAATCCGCCTCCGTGGTGTTGAACGCGTCGCAACGCCGTAAAAGGAGAGACAAGCTGGCCAAAAAAAATTAATTATCTCGCTGTACAGTGCTTCGTTCGCACACTGAAAATGGAGTAAATAAAATGTTACTCATAAACGAGTAACATTCTCCCTTCACTCACGGCACTAAGAAGAATGAAACAAAAATTAATTTTTTAATTCCTCTGTATACATATAATCTATTCACGTTCGTAAACTCTGTTACGAACCATTACATAATTCCATAGCACAGTATCATCCTAATATCACCATAAATTACTCTATATATCACAACGAAACGCTATTCGAAATTCATCTCCAAAGAGAAAAGAGAGAGAAGAACGATAATAAAGAGAACAAAAAAACAGGCAAAGAGTACTCGAGGAAGAAGGGAGTCGTTCGATCGTGGCATGTGAACTTTCGACGAAATCGCAAGAGAAGGAACACGGCATGCTCAACCGAGGGAGATAACCCCCGCGGGTTAAGGGTTGCGATTCACGATCGATGTTATCACGAAATTGGGATCGTGGATGCGCGATACCGTCTCCATGATAACGTTTCGCCGCCCCTCTTCCTCATTATGATATCAGTATGAGTTCGTCCTTCTCCGACACGGCGGATCTCGAGCTACGTAATATCGCGCGACCACGTTCATCGCGATGGAGCCGTTACATCGCGATAACCGGTGCGTGCACGCGCGCAAAGTACTTCTGATAAGCGTACGCTCGACCGAATCGTTTCCATGAGCCCAACCAGATTGTGGATTACGTTCTCGCGTGGAAACACCACTGATATTTGGTAATTGAGTACTTTTTCATTTTCGGCTGGATTTCGAAAGATTATTTGACACGGATCGTGTTCCATGAGCATCGAGTCATTTTTGACTCGATTTTGTCTCGTGGCTGATACAAAGTATCCTTAATTTTGAAGGAAAATAAATTTTTGAAAATTTGTCTAACTTCGTAGAAGAGGGAAAATTCTCGTAAATTTTCTTCATTTTCTAGGCAACAGACTCGTTTGCATTTTGTGAGAGGAAAACGAGTCAAGAAAGCGAAGGTTCGTTTTCTTTCAAACATAAAAGTATTTTTTGTACTAAGGAAAATATTCCGATGGGATTCGATTTACGATTAGCTTGTAAAAAATTTGTAGATCTAGCAAAGTTGAATGATTTGAAGCTTGATGAGGATTGTTTCATATTGAAAGCTTCTTAATTGAACGAAAAAGACTCAAATATGAAAAACTTCAGAAAGACGTTCTTCGGTTAACTAATATTAAATTTTGGAAGAGTCACAGAAAGACTTTTGGTTATTCGATATATTGGGAATTTAAAGGTTTGAACATTACTCAGAATTTTGGCCTCTCCGTTGCTACATCGCAACTAATTAATGGTCCTTTAAGTGGACCACAAATATAACACATTGAATTTAAATTCAATGAATATATGAAACTGAATATTTACAATTATTTAATCGTAATGAGATTACACCGAATACGTTACGCGAACAGACAATGTAATTTGTCGAAGTAGACCTTAATTTTATTAATGTGAATCGTAACAAAAGCGTCAATTATGTAATAAACATCGAGTCGTTGTTAATTGTAGCATTGATTCGAATAAAGATAACAAGAAAATCGATACGTCAGTTATCGTACGAACGTAAACCAGAAAAGAAAGGAAAAATATTACGGACGTTATCAGCGTTAATAAATCGAGCAATTGTATTATATTCTCGTTTATCTACAAGCACGAGGTAGATGGAATAAAATATAGGTATTTTTATCCATTGTGTTCAGAAGAAAATAAAAGTTGATTATCGCTAATACACGATGCATTCCAATAAAATTAATCGACGATATTTCGTCGAATAGTACAGATAAGCAGCGTAGTAAGAACAGAAATCTAATTTTACACGTTTCGAAAATATTATCAACAAGATATATATATATATACACACATATGTATATATATATATACATATGTATATTATACTTGAAAAAATTATCAAACTGCTGTTAATTATTATCACATAAGATTGTCATAATCTTTTTGATAATTCTACAAGATTAATTTAACTTAAACGCAAAACTCGATAACGATGGACAGCTACTGCTCGTCGAAATTTTCTTTACTAGAAAATAAGAATTTTTATTCATCATCAAAGACTTCATTATAAAATATTCGAGTAGCAGACTTAAGAAACCTTTTCGTATAGACTCGATTAAGACGCGAGTTTTGCATAACCCGAAAGTACGAGATTCAAAGTACTAAGAATCCGTTGAAACGAGAAAAACTCTAACTGATACGCATCAAATTTGTAAAACTCCAAAGTACTAGAGAAAACGACGTCAAAGACGCTAAGAAATCACTGAATCTCCAAGCCACGACTCTCAAAGTGCATCGCATACATTCCACTTATCCTAGACGTAATCTCGGCACATTGTTCGCGTTTCATTACGGTTCCTTTACGACACTCGTTCCTTCGATCGCGACCATAAAACGACGCTTACGGAAAACAACGGATCTCGTTGCGTCGGTTTCCTGGAGTGGTGATACAGGTGCAAAAGTACTTTTCTTTCATAAAGTAGAAAATTAAATTGAAGCTGAATGTGCAGAATTGAAAATTATAAACTATTCAACTATTTAATAAGAACAAATTTTGTTTGTTTTACAATTGAGCTAACAGCTTTTAGATTTTCAGACTTTCGCTCAGACTCGATAGAAAGTCGATAAAATATCGTTTATAGCAAACAGTTATTTGGAGGGATTTCAACAAATGGATTTTTGAAGAGGTATGAAGGTACTCTGAATCATTATTGAATGAATCATAATAAAATTGTGAAAGACATTTCGGAAAAAGAAAAGGAATTCGAAAGCTGTAGATTTCTATACTTTGGTTTCTTCAAATTTCTCAAATATTCCTCCTAGTATAATATCATTAAATGACCATGGTCTTGATCCCATTAAATGGCTGACATTTAGAATTAGCTTTTACAGACATATATCAAAATTGTAAATTTTTCTTTCAGCAATAAAAAAGGTTGGTATAACCTTGACATGCTATCACACAAAATGGCAATTTTAGAAGTAATTTTTGTGGACACGTCGGTAGCAACGATTTCTCAAATGTGTCACTATTCTAGCAAACCGATGAAACAGACCTATTAACTTTTACGTCGTTTAACTTTAATGTCGCCTCCTATTATCTACGAGCGAATCAGACGGACGGTTCGCGGAGGATTACGTAGCGCTGCAATGATAATGCGAATCCACGAAATTCCATCAATAAATTTACCAACTGCGCAATTCGCCGCGTTTCCCGAGACCCGGTGATAATACTCTTCGCGTTTAATATCCGTCCGCTTCCCTTTTTACGACCGTTTTAATTTCATCCTCGGCAGTAACTCTCTTCTGCTCCGCGAAACGAACGACGCTCATTCAGTTCGCAAGTTGCTATCGTGACGCGTGTCCTCAGTAAAAAGATACGAACGATAAGATTCGGCTGTTCTTGATAAAGTTTTTTGGTAAACCAATTGGAGAAAAGGAAGGGAAGGGGGACTATGTACGACGAAAGCTGATCGAACTGACGAGATATTCGAACGAATTGCGAAATTTTATGAAATAGCCGATGAAAATTCGATAAGACTGTGTGTATTTTATTCTTGCGGAATTTTTAATCTGGAGATATTTGTTCAAAGTAGATGAGCAATTTTTGGAAGATTTTTGTGACTAATATTAGTGGAATTTGTAGATAGAATATAGAGATATGTGATACAGTGGATTTTTATATCACCAACTGCCAGATCTGCTACTATCTTGGCGAACTGACAAAACACTTTCCCAAAATGTCAACTGTGAGAGAGAGAGTACCTATACAATGTCTACTATATAAAAGACGACTACCTTTTTTCGTTGCTAAAAATACATTTGGCTAAAGAATGTTCCATATATTCTTTAACTTTATTTTACAATGTTATATTTCCTACTAATGTGTATTTTTTAAGATTTGCACAATAATATATTATATATGTGTTCCTTCATCTGAAAACGCGCAAATATCTTGAGCATTATGAGCGATACGGAAATATGTTCCAAACAAATGTCATACCAATATTTATTTTATATTGGAAAGCTGTATGAAGGCTACATTTTTAGATGAAAACTATATCTTTCACATAAACCACTATCGAGATATTAAATTTCAACTTTGATATGATCCGGCATTGGCGTCATCCAGTGCACATCACGAGAAAATTGCTTTGACAAACTTTGTGCATCATAATGGTTCTAAAAAGAGCTGATTGTGTGTATACACATTGTGTATATACTAAATACTATCCTTAAAACAGTTAGTCGCTTCTTTTCTACGTATTTACCATAAAATAATATGACTTTTTTACCCTTCTTAAGAATTAATATTTCGATAGTTTATGCGAAAGATACAAGTAAAGCGTTAAAGTAAAGCTTTTAAAATGTTGCAGTGTCGATTGCAAGAACACAGGAAAAGAAGATATAGTTTCCATTTAAAAATATAAACGTGACATTTATAGGGCTTTCCAAAGTCATTGTTTGATAAATTAAATATCGGTACGATATGTCCCCCTGGACATCCTACAATATTTGTTTCAAACATTTTTATTTTCGAGATATTTACATCACCAGATATTTCTCAGACAAATGGCACACGTCTTACGATATTTAATTTTGAAACCTAAAATCCCAATCTAAACAACATTTGAACGAGTATATGAAAAAAGGATGACTTGTACATTTATTAACAAAAATCTGGATCTTTAATACCAAAACAAATATCTACTCTAGAAATTATTATATGAAATTTTCAAATAATTTCCAACCAGTTCCAAAGGAAATTTTAACATTCTAGACAGTTTTTTTCGGCTTTCACTCTGTTAGGTAGACTCACAAAATATTATACTTCAAGGCAGCACACGAATTCCTAAAATAACACACGTGCTCCGCAAAAATTCATGCCAACGAAAATCTTAACGCGTTTATGTGGAACGTAAATCCGTAATTATCGAAACTTTTTTAACGATCTTCTTTGTAAGTTGTCCAAGCCCGTGACGAGGCTGTCAGGGCAGCGAAAGGCTTCGTTTTAAACTCGACGCGAAGCACCTGGCTGGTTATAGTCGATAATGCTTATGCACGACTTGCTTCAACCACTTTGAACTTGGAGGGTCGTGTAAATCGCATGGAAAACGGGCTAGTAGGTCACCCTACTTTCGTCCGTTACATTCCACGATACACGTTCAACATACCGTAGAAATTTCCTTTGTTTATCCACTTTTACTTTTACGTTTATAGCTGGCAATAGCTGGCAGTTCGATGGCGCCGCCATCGTTTCGTTCGCGTTTACACTCGATATCTGGCGACGTTGATGATTCAGGATTTAATGGTACTTGCATGACATGTGTATATGAAATTTTTATTTTTAAAACGAATACTGGGAACGGGATCTTTTTCTTTCGACATCCCTGTAAGCTTATTTTTCGGGTATCTTATCATGTATTTGCGTGGATAAACTTCGTGAAACATAAAGTTAATATGTAAGCCGAGAGAGTGAGAGGATGTTACCTGATAACGTATTGTGTTGTAAATTCGAAGATCGATTACATCAGAAATTCTCACGTTCGTTAAAAACTCGTTTAAATTTCATCTAAAATTCTAATTCCTCACTCGGCCAGCAAAAGATAATTAAACGTTCCGCTATAGTTAACAATACGAGCGGAAACTATGTTAATATCTACTGACGAATTAAAATCGTTTCCAATAAAAAGCTTCCATTTCGTGTGAATGTTACGTTTCATTGTTTGTATTCATAAAACAGTTAGTTTATAAGAGTTGGTTTCGAACTTCAAGATGAGTGATTGTAGAGTTCAAAAATATACTTATGAGAACTTTGACATTTGAAAAAATCGAAGCTCATAAAAGTAGTACTGGAACCTTGAAAGATTAGAAACTATACCACAGATATATCATACTATACGACATGCACTATGTTCGTTACAATTCAATACCGTAAACAGAAATCTATCTTAAGCATTTGATTAAAGTATTTAAAAAATATATCTGACGAATACTACTCGCGATAGTGTTTCATATGTGTAATTATCGAAGTACTTATAAACATCTAAAATCTTACTTCGTCTAGCTCTAAGATTATATAATTAAATTTCGAATTATTTAGTAGTACTTTCGTATAAGCGAATAAATTTGATATTATGAACATGAAATATAGAACCTGACAAAAAGACGCTTCGTTGGAAAATAAGGGTATACGCAAATACTTTTTGTAGCCACTGTACTTGATCCCATTCTTAGTCAATAAACATTCGAACATGAACATTCTTACAATCTTATCGTTGTGGCATATGGTGAGACTTACCTGACCCACAAAGCTAAAAGCTCAGTACACCGATCAATCTCCATAAATGTTCCAATTCGAAATGCGACTAGCTTCCTAAATAGGCGGCTATAAACTTAATCGGACTGCATATTTACCAATATCGCTGGAAAGCGTTTCGTGTCGCATGAAATCGAAAATAAAGACGCTTGTCACGTAACCACAACGAAAATGTTCCACTGTATGTATGTATAGACGACGTACATATATATATATATATATGCAAGACTGTTTTAAGCACGAAACGTCGCGAAGTCTCATAATTTTGATCGCACGAGCTACGGCGATAAAACAGGGCGAAATTGCCAAAGCAAACACACACAGTCGGTCGACATACGCGCGTACCACCTAGCTGAGGGTTAAAATTACGCTCTGACTACAGGTCAGGCTCGAGATTCGTTTGGCAACCCTGTCATTTTCCTCGAGAGCCCTTAACGAGTCCCGGCCCTACCTTCCTCTTCATCCCTGTCACCCTCGAAAAAAAGCAACCCCTCTTCTCGAGCCAAGGTGAAATAAAAGCTGTTACACTCGGTAACGAGCTCGGAACAAGCAATAACGTCGCATGGAAATTTATTACGGTAAACACGGGCGCATCCCGAGGCCTCGTTGCTCATCGCGATCGCGCAGTAAAACGCGTTCCAAATAATTGCCCTGCTTGCCCTTTCGTACTTCTTTGCTCCTGCTGGGAAAAGACAAGAAGTAAATTTCTCTTGAAAACCTTTTCAAACTCTTTCCATACAGATCTCCTCTTCAGAATTCATTTAGGTTTTTCTTTAAGTCTCATTACGTAGTCTTTTTATACTATTTGTACAATTAAGGAATTTATTAGATTTGGATTGAATGGAAAGCTTATGTATTTTCGGAATATTAGATACAGTTGTATGACCACAGAATTGATGTATTGTAATCAATAACGTATAACCCCTGTTATTATCTGCCAATATTCTAGATTGCATAGAAAGAATTATAATAATAGCAATATAATCCTTTTCCCATTTCCAATATCCTAAATAATAAATCAACTAACGATCACAACTATTACAATATATTCTATATTAATCAACATTATGTTCCTTGAAATTTTACTTTTCTCAACTCAATACCGAAACGACAACTAACCATTATCAATTTTTTAAACAATATATAATACAATTTATCCTTGTTACAATTCTATGCATAGTAAAATCAATATAGCAGCCAACGATAAATCAATAAATCCAACTAATAGTCCCCCATAGCTCGTCCTATTCACTGATTATCAACTGTTCCAAGTTTCAAGTAGAAAACTACCGCCACTGATCAGACCGAGCGTTACGCGGCACCGTGGTACTTCTGGTTCTACCGAAGCACTTCATAACGCATTAAGAGGCAGTTTTCTTCGTTTCATAATCGATTACGTAAAGCAACGACGAACAGTTATGGTTCCGTTTTTGCAGGGAATATTTCGTGTCCGTGGGAGGCTCGAGAAGAAATGGGTCGACGAAGTCCGTGGAAGCTGTCGAATCTCAGGTACGCTCGAAATCGATCGTTAAAAGCGAGCTCAGACGATTTTTGCCAACAATACGAGCGGCCTATAAAACCACAGCAGATACCTCTCTCCCCCGCGTTTGGCTTCGTTATATTGGATTCTGCGAATCAATAAACCTCGCTTGCGTCACGACCATGCTGATCCTAATGCAACGAGCTTGCAACGCGTGTTTCAACGCTTCTGCACAGAACAGAGGAATCTTCGATTCGTTTGTTGATTGCACACGCTGTAACGAATGCGTTGCCTTCATTCGTTTTTCACATAGAATACTCGTGGTTTATTATTTCAGGTATTAATAATGGAAATTGTAATTCTTTTATCATTGTGCTTCTTTCTATCAAATTTGAGTATTGCATTAAACAAAATATTTTTAAGTATATTCTGAAAAGTTTCTAAGAGTTTCTAACAGTAGGTAGAAATGCCACTCGTTAAAACGAATACAAATTAACGAGTACAAATTAAGATAATACATATCGTACTTGTTACTAAAACAAAATGTTTACTCATATTGGGAACACAGTAACTTTTATCGCATTATAGCTATGTTTAAAATGTATTAGTGTAGATAGCATGACTAAGAAAGGTCAATGACGTGTTAAATAAAAATTTGCAATTTTCGACTGCTTTATGTTTTAAACTGTAAGGAATTTCTTAGGAAATGTCTTTTTTTGAGATTATTTATAATTATCCGGAAATTTTCTTATTTTACTTAACGATGAAGTTTTCTTATTAGAAGAATCGATGAGAAAGCAACGTGTAAACATAACTTTCTATTTTTAAATCACGTGTTGTTTCAGACGTTTCGCTGAATTTGTTCAGTCATTCCCGTCATAGGAATAATATTTGTTGATTTCGTGCGAAAAAGTTGAAGTTTCCATGAAATAAGCAGGCGTTTGTAAAAAAATTTGAACTGTTATCCCATCGATGAAGAGTTAAACGGTGATTACCGTGGGAAAAATTAAATCTCTGCTCTTGTATGACATCAGGAAATTTCAACTGTGAACAAAGTTCACAACGAGCCACGGGCAATATTTAAGGACTGCAACCTTTCGTCGTGAGGAAGCAAAGCTGAGAAAAACGATATGTCAAACAGAGTTCACGGATGATCACTAAAAAGAGAACACTTGTTAAATGTCACTGCTTTCACCGTCAGCTTTATAATCATACTTGACGATCCGATGAATAATGACTTTCCCTCTTACCATTTTCCCTACATTACCTATAAAAAGACCATTACTCTTATTATATCACCTTAAGAATTAAAATCCTACAACTGCATACAATCTCTATCATCGTGTGTCTTGGAAATTACGTACACGTGTATCTATACTTCTTTTCATCTATATTTTTACATTCTAGAAAAAGAATTTTCAGGTCTAATATCGAATAATCTCGGTGTTTCCACGCCAGAAATTTACCAGAAATCTCACAAACAACAAAGCGCTACCCATCTCAATCGAAATAAAGAGTAACATTGTACACTATAAATATTTTCCCGGGGTTAAAAATCTAAAGTTTCTAAATCTTTACGTGTATTTACTTCCACAAATTCCATTCTTCCTAAAATTCTCAGAAATTACTAACAATCACAGAATTTTTCAATTCCAGAGATGTTTACGTAAGTACTTGCAATTTGTCATTCGTAATCCTTTCATGCAGCTAGTTTTGCCTAAAAGGAAGAGCAAAGTTACCCAAAACTGGCAGAATCTTCGAAACATATTTTCAGAGATGTTTACCTACGTCTAATTTCTTATTCAGAGTCCATTCACGTTTCGGTTTTTTTCATAAAAACGGAAACCAACGAGGCCTTCATGGACCAACCGAAAGGCGATTTATTAGCAGAACGGCGTTACGCGTTCGGAATGAAACAACGACCAACAATGGCGCGTCTCGCATTCGGCTTTCAGCGCTATTCTTGGCCAACCCGGGAGGCGATCCTGAAGTTGATGGATCGGTTGGTGACGCGCGAAAAGCGATCGTGCTTCCGCGAACTTCGTTCTCCTTCGACGTTCAAAGCAAGACGTATCGCGGCTGGAAGGGAGTGATTGCCAGAACTCTTCGTGAATTAACAAACCCAAGCTTGTAGATCAGATTAAAGGCTCGAAAAGCTCGAGATTTCTCTTTTTTCTTGCTGGAACGTCGTGGAAAATCGTTTACTACTTCTTGTTTGATTTTATTAAACAGAGAATTGCAAGTTTCCAATTTTAACGCGCTGAAGAAAAGTATACCGACGAATCGAATAAATTGTAGAGAAATCTCTTTTTCTTTCTTTATTTTCATCTTAGAATTTGAGATTATTTTAGTTGTTTTCTTTGAAAATTGTTAATGAAAACGACATGACATATAAATGACTATAAATTATTCGTTTAGAATAAACTAGAGATTTAATATTACGTTATTATTCTAGTCACGATGTATTGCATACATAAATCATGTTAATTACAAACCATTAATTGTTGCCTTCTGAAATTTTTCTCATGAGATTTTCTTTCCGAGTTCCCCTTCGGCCTATGACGGATAAAAGAAATACATTGATATTGTATAATGTCGTTTTTCATATGTACAAATAGCATCGGAAAAAAAAACAAAATAGGCAAGGTATAATATACAATAAGTAGGTACATTATATTATAAATGCCTACGAACACTTTATATTACATGAAAGTATACTTTTCAAGTCGTATCGTTTGTTTAAATTTAGCAAAGCGAAATTAAAAAGAACAATTTGAAACAGCGCCTAATTTCTACATTATTCGCAAAATACAAATAATCTATTACATTCTATTATATCTATATACACCTAACTAACTTTACAGAAAAACACATTACAACAGAAAATAACTTTACTCGTTTCTTCTATCTATCACATTATTTTCTTAAGACTTTTTCATTACGTTCCTCGAAACAAAAAGAGGAAGAATGCAGGAATAATTATCAGACTTTCGCTTGTGGATTCAACATAGAAAATCAGTTTCCTCCTTACAGGGATCCGGGGTTTTTACATGGAGCAAAAAACGTGAGAAATTGCACCGGAGCGTGCAAATAGTAGTCGATTCTCAGCTTGGACTAAAAGCAGACGCTGATTTACAAGGCCAATAGCGTTTATCGCGTCTAGCAAAGTCTGTAAAACAAAGCGAAGGTCCGAGACCCTTTTAAGGGACGATAGACACGCTGTTTCTCACCCTATTTCGTTCAGGAGGGAATGCGAAAGAAGTGGAAGCGATGAAAATTCGACTTTTCTCTCACTCCCTGGTAAAACGTGTCTACACGCGTTGCTTGATGGCCTAGTAAAGGCCGAATGTGTCAAGAAAATTTATTTCGATCACGAGGGTGGATGAATTGTAGCGTCAGCGAGAACTCGTCTCGTTTTTCTCCCTTCTCTGCCTGTAGAATTTGTGTTCTACGTTTCCAGCTTTCTCCGCGTTCGTTTTTCCGCGAATTTCCCGATGAATATATATGTATATACGCTTGGCCTCTATAGTGCAAAAAGAGCTCGTCGAGATTGAATTCGCATTATAGTGGAGATCGGTCGAAAGCGTAAAATGCAATTTCCCTGAAAGTGCTTCATAAATGTTGCAATTTATTTCTGTTAATTGGTACGGGAATGAGAACGCGTGAATCAATGGAATAAAAGGGACTAAGGTTGAAATACTGAATCTCTAAATCTGAAACTTAACATTCCACAATTCGAGTCCTAATTCAATCGCTTCTACATTTTCTCAGAATCCTGTCATATTCAAATCTCAAAATCTTCTATATAATTATACATGTACACAATAATATATTATATACACCTATATAAACTTCTACTTCGAACACTTAATCCATCAGTCATTAAAAAAATTATCAAAGTAATACTATTGTACATATCGCGATTAATCAGAACAAAACGCATTAATTTTCAATAATCGTTGTTTCAACACTGTGGTAATGAAGAGACGACGAATCGTCACGTAATAATTGGCAGATGACACTAATTCCGAGGACAAGCACGATTGATTTTATACTCAACTAAACTCATCTACGCTCCGTGTGCGCACCTGACCAATCTCCTTCTTTCATCATGGCGACGTTTAATCCCATCTTTTTCCGTCGTAAAGAAATATAGCTACCGGAATTTATTGCCAGTACGAATTCTCAGCCTTCAATATCGGCATATTAATTTTCGGCTGGCGCACGAGGGACGTTCGATCGCTTCGTTAATTATTAGCCGATTTTTCACCGTCTCGAGGCTAAGACCTGCAGGAATTCATGCCGACATAACGATGTGAAGTACTGTAAGAGTTTTAGAAATATTGTGATGATCCACGCAAAATTCTCATTAGATAAATGGTTTACGCTAATTATACGTACTTAAGAATAATATGTTAAACGATCGATATTTCTTTCGAACTCGTTGTAGTCCTAGAACTTATATGTTCTAATCTAGCTCTTCTCTCGATACATAGAAACACTTAACTTTTTAAAGAAAAACTTTATCGTAAAATTTAAAAGAGGAGATCGTGCGCGTTAACAACGATGCTTTCAGCAACGATAAGATTGAAAGTGCAAAATTCAAGTATCATTGATGTTTTCAGAAACGAACTGCTTTTAACCTGCGAGAAAAATTATCTTTTTTACGAATTACTAAGAAAGGCACAATAGACTAAAATTTTAAACCAGTTTTATCAAAGATCGATAGGTGTATTTACCGTTTAGTTGATGAATAATTTACTAGAGTACAATGTTACGTATATACAGTCAACAAGAGATAAACTTGACTTTTAACCTTTAACGAAAAGTTTTTCTCGAAAGGGTGATAACAATATTCGAACGAGCTTTTGTTTTTTCGTGGATACAAACGAGAGAGAGAGAGAGAGAGGGGGGGAGAGATAGGGACAGGGATGAGATGAGAGTTCCGGTGACCAGGTCTGACTAACATGTTTTTGCGCGGACCTCGAAAGCTTTATTTGCCGAGCGAGATTTTCCAATTAAACCGTGATTAATCCGCGCGACGAATGCTTAGGGCCGAATGTTTACGGCTCAGGGGAAATAAGTTGCTGGTATACAGAGCGTGGAAAATCGATACACACAGTGAGGGCAGGGTGTAACGGGTAGGGTTTGGGTGCAGAGGAATCGACGATAATCCGATTTCGATGGACGGCACGAGTTGGATAATTCGTTTGCCTCGTGCCACTCCAAATAGAGAAAGAGAGATAGAGAGGTAGAGAAAGAGAGATAGAGGGATAGAGAAAGAGAGGTAGAGAAATAGAAGGAGAGGAGAAAGATGAGTGTGTTCTATCTTCGTCCTTCATCCCGCTTTTCTGTATTTCTATCTCTGTTATCGATGGAACTATTGAATTCCGTTTTCCTCGACTCGCGTGACTCGAATCGCGAAAAAATTCGAACTGCGTAGAGAGGAAAAGCGCTTCGCGATCGTTCGAAATGACTTTACATTCTACGAAATAGTTCGAGGATAAAATTTTTCGATCGAATGGTTTCGTCGTTGCGATTTTTATTAATTACTTCTTATTGGATCTTCCGATTATCTTAACTTGGGGATTTACTTAGTCGCGATAGTTGGGAAAATAGAGAAATTGTGTTTGTGGGAAAACTAATATATGGTCATAGGTACTGTATAAAAACATGATTCTAAAGGAGAAATATGTAATGAATGATGTTAAACGATGGATATAGTACTAGAATTACATTACATATATCTAAATATAACATGTAAGACAGCGTTGTTAAATTAAAAACAGTCATTTGTATGTGCTATATAACATCCTCAAACTGGTTGCCTCGTTTGCATAATGTATAAAACATTTCGCAGCGTATTTTACGAGCGAATAAAGATGTTTAAGTTGGCGATTCTCTAATAATTAAACAGTGTCTCCAAGAACTAGAAATTATTTTGCAATGTTTCCCTTGCGTAAAGAAAGAAACGAAAGATCACCTATACCCAGACGATGTTGTCACTCTCACGAACTTGATATACTCAATGCTTCATTCATGGATCATTCAAAGTAATAATTTCATTATATGAGAATAATACTAATAATAATAATGACAATTATATACATTCTAATTTACAAACTGTATTCAATGATTTAATCATTTTGAGTATCAACCTTACAAATACTATGAGTAGTAAAAATTTAGAAAACGATTATAATATACTTATAAATAACTGGATTATTACTTTAATTACACCTTCTATTATAATAAATAACTAAAAAAGAGTCTAATAGAAACCATCACTTAAACGAAAATAAAAGCTTTCTGGTTTTACGTTTTATTATAATCCAACAGTCAATTTCAATCAATTAATTCGTCAAACGCGAGTCGCTGACGCGATGCGCCATCTCGTATAGCCAGCGGCGACCTTGCTATTATTGTCACACTATTTTCATAAGCAGCTCGGGCAAATCTGACGTAAATAAATGCGTAAATACCTCTATACCGCATTTTAACCTATTAATTAATTAACGCGCCTAATCTGCTAATTCGTTTGACACACACACACACATACACACACACACACACACACACGATTCCTAAGCGCGAATGGAAATCGTCATTTCCGCAGTAGGAAAAGCATGTTCCAGACAGCGTTACGACCTCAACGTAATTTGTCGTAATAGGCATGTTTGTTTGATGTAATACCAAGAGACTGAGTCACTACGATCGTTCCAGATCGCGAGCGACCTTGAAGAAAAGCGAAACGCCTCGCATCGACTGACGACGAATACAATTTCTAGATCGATGTGTCGAACCAATGTTATTATTTACCTTTTAAACGAAGCTGCATTGCAACGGACGATTCGGATTGTCGTCACAATATTCTCACACCATAACTCTACCTGTAGCGTAGAAGCACAACATTGGTATCTACTCGAACGATAATCTCATTTGTTAATATACCAATAAACTAAATATCCTATTCCCCAATCGCATATAAATGACATTTTTAAAACGATTTTGCAGTCAGTTATAGAAGTCTATATACGTATACTTAATGAATTCTTTGTACATGTATTATTTACTGAAAGAAATTAGAAACGTATTTTGCATTAGGACCATTAAAACTCACAAGCAGTGCCTTATTAAAGTATTTGGTCACTTACAGAAATCTTTTACTAAACGTATTATGCGTCTTATATAAACCATTTTAAAATTTCAGTAGCATTATGTATAATGGAACACGTTTATTATATTAGTAAAATTTGAAACAAATGGGAAATATACGTACGTATACATAGAAGAATATAATCATAGTATTTGAACGGTCAGTTATTTATTATACTAGTAAACTAAAAAATATTTACTGAGATCGCTCTTAGCACTAATTATATGCTGAAGACCGTTATATTGCATAGTACGTTTTAAACTAAATATATATTTACAGCAAATATTTTGCAACTTTTATATACACTTCTAGATTCGTTTCAAATTTTACAAATAGAATTATGATAGTCATGTCTCATTATAGTGTTAATGAAACTTTAAAAAGTTTCGTATGACGCATGTAATATATTCATCAAAATTTTCTATGTTAATATTTTTTGTGTTTCGAATATTGTCAATATTGTCAATATTGTCCTTAAATGTCAAATTGATCGACTCTTTCTTACTGCTTCAATTTCATTACATAAATACACGATTAATATACAATTGTTGAGAAACAAATAGTTAATTTTCATACGTCGAGATAAATTTAGAAAGCAATGTTTGTAAGTTCATCAATATGTCTTCTGAATGGCTCATGTAACATATAACAAAGTCCCTAAATCCGATTAATATAAAATATGGTACAAAAAGATTTTTAGAACTAACCTCCTAATTAAAAGAGTGTAGGCAGGCTTTTCTAAGACACTACACATCACTGTCATCTTTTTTTATTAATTTAAGAAATAAAGACTGAAACGTAGATCGTAAAACCGAAACGAAACATACATATATTTTAGTGTCATCTTAAACGGTGATTGGTCAAGGTAGTTAGTTCGATATATCGAGCTTCGTGGTGGTTGCGATAATCGAAGGATCAAAGGCGCGATTACTGCGCCACAGACGCGGCAGAAATGCTCTTGAACCGTTACGAAGTGGAATCGTGCTCCGATCGCGTGACACATTACGGAATTCGCACCGTGACGGGTTCCGCGCATAAATTATCTGACCGTGTGACGCGTGTGTACACAGAGCATGGAAAAAAAGAAAAAAAGAAGCAGAGTGGCGAGCTCACGCGAGCTACGGTTCCGTTTCGCGATCATGATCAAGAAACGTCTAGAGTTGTCTCGAATGAAGAAGAGTTCGATACTCACGTGTCTTTGTTGGGTCAGCGAACACTATTCTCGTCCCTCGAATGAAGCACGAAAGTACGAAATGACGTCAGTGGAAGATCACTAGTTCCGTAATACCCTCGGAATATCCTCCTCGTTGCGTATCCACAGTCCTCTTCTCACCGTGCTCCTGAGTTCTCCTACAAGGTACGATCACGAAATATTCCTTGCTGTCACACTGCTTTACAGATCGTGTAGCTCCAAAAGGTAGAACAAGCTGTCACTCGCGCAATCGATTCTCACTTTTGGCGAAACGATGTTACGTTGGGAAATAAGGTTATGGTACACGACCGTTTCGTATCGCTACACGGGTTACGTATAAAAGTAAAAAAAAGAAAGACGCGGAGATTATGGGAAGAAAGGAAAACGATCGGAGCAGTAACGATGTTACCGTACTGCTTCCCCTTTCTTCACTATCTTTTCTATCGATATTCGGTCGTGTTACTCGCTGCAACGACGTTCGCGGTGTGTGTCGTGTCAGTTCTCGAACGCAGCACTGAGGAAAGAACTCGTCCTTTGCGCGCGCGCGTTACTGTACACGCGTATATCTATATACATATATGTATATAGAGACAGATATAGATATTGTAGACAACACGCGTGCCCCTGTAATGTCCTTCGTTCCGTTTTTCTTTTCCTTCTGTTCTTCGATCAGAGCAGTTATCGTTCCGCGAATCCACACGAACAGTCACTCGCGAGTGCCGCTGCGAGACTGGAACGCGGGGAAACATGTGCGGCCTCTTACATACCGCTGTGGACGAAGGGGGAGTCGGGGAGGGGAGTAGGGGGAGCCACCAACGAACGAGACGAGCGGTGGGGGACGATCCCACTCCTCGAACAACGAGTGGGGTAACTGGCAAGGACGCGAGACCTCGACATGTCGCGGTCGCTCGACGTACTACTTTTTTCCTAACACTCCTGCTTGCTTTCCTCCCGATCACATTGATAAGGGAAGTTATCGGGTGCCGCTCTCTTCTCTCGAGACCTAAAATTGAATGACGGAAAAAAAGAAAGAAGGTTGTTCCATTTAGGTCGCGTTTCTGATCTGTGCAAACGTATACGAAAATCATTGCAAACGCTAAAGATAGTAAAAGAAGTAAGGTGAGAGCTTGTTCCTTTTGGAGCTGGTTAACTATATTTAGAGCCTCGTTTTCTATCCGTTGTTGAAATGTATCGAGCAAAATAGAGTAATACCTATGTATAATGCCTACTATTAGATGAAAGTGAGCTTTTTTGTTATCTACTCGTAAATATAAATCATTGGCAATTTTTAATTATCGCTACTGCCTTTCGTACTTAAACCTTTTTGTAATCTCGTCGTTATCCATGGATCTATTACACGAGCTCTAAACGAGCCTAGTTTACTTATCTGTCATTAACGATGCACGGGATCACGAAAGATTTAAGAGGTTAATGTCATTTAACCAATTTATTTTTATTAAACTCTTCGTGAAGATAAGGGACTTAAATCTTCCAAATTTCCTCATATATATGACATATTAAATATATCGCTCGGCCAAAGAGAGATGTTCACGAAGGAACACCTCGATGTTGGAGTATCATTTAATCATGTCTAGATAGGAAGACCTTGATTCACTTACGCGTAAGCACGAACCGACAAACCGAACGTGCAGGAAGCCCGCTATCTAAAGACAATCGCGACAAATCGCAAGGTAGATTTGTATCGCAACTTCCGCGATGAGGTAAGACCGGCGAGACGTAATCGCGATTATAAAGTCGTGTCGGCCGTCGGCCATGGCTCGGGGAGGAATCCATTTTTCTCTCCGCGTAACGCAGAAGAGAAGCAGGATGATTGCGATGCAAGTTATTGTAAATCGCTCATAAGGATTGGACAATCGCTTCTCGATTCGACACGTTCGCTTGTATGGTCATTGTTGCGAGTATTTGAACATTTATTCATTTTAGTTTTACACTTTATTACAATTATCTGATGGAATGTTCGATAGCAAGTAAATGGTATTTTGAATGAATTATCTTAAATCAGTATCCGTTGTTTACGACAACTGCGTCGTCTTTTACGTATAAATGTTATTGAATTGATTAACGGTTCAAGTATATTTAAGACAAGTGGAGTCTAGATTATTTAGTTACAATATTCTGAAGATTACAATCGGTCGATCGTAATGGTATTGAGGCGATAGACATTCGATATGTGGATCAGAGAACAATATTTTAAATCAAAGCAACAGGTTACATAATGAATAAATTCAAGAGAGTAGTGGTAGAATAGGTTACATAAGTTTGCAATAAAAATATCAAAGTTGCGTGTTAAGATAGCGAAAAAGAAAAGTGGTTTTGTGAGTTTCCAGAAACATTCATAAAACCGGTAGTTGGTAATATGTAACAGTAAAAGTAGCTATTCTCTTTCAGAAACAGGACACGCAATTTGGTTACTCCATTGAATGAATCATACTTGACTCACAAAAATGGTGACTCCCCTACAACTGAGGATATTTGACTCATTCTTCAGAATCTTCTAGAAACTCTACTCTCCATTTAAATACTATATCGCATCACTTATACCTCAAAATGTTTCACACCTCAAATTGTGACAAATTATTGCAACAAAACGATACACAAAGATTCAACAGTGAAATTCTACGTAATCTCGAAATCTGATAATTCACCAGCGCCAAATTTGAACATTCTGCACGACAAGAAGATGTTTGCTACTCGCAGCGTGTATTTATATCAAAAGCCCAGCGTAACGTTTTTAAAGAATGCCCCCTTTGTATTTGCCATTCGTGGTATAGAATAAAATGTGTCACGCATACACAAACAGGGATGATAGAAAGAGCACGCACGAGCGCACCCTTCGTACAAGGCTCGGGCACGTGGAAAGTTCAACAGGAAGGAAACATCAGAAACGCACACCACACATACACCCTTCGTCTCTCCATTTCACTTTTCCTTTCACGCGTGCCTTTTAAAGGTCCCATGGAAAGCAGCACGCGCTCTGTAAATAAAGGCCAGGGCACATTGCACTGTTCGTCGACTCGTTACATTGAAGCGTTTAAGGACTCTCTACGGCTATCTGCGGCGTTATCTGCGGTTTCTACTGCTTTCTCGCCCACCCATCAGCTAGCCACCCCTTATGTCTTCCTCTTTCTTCTACCAGGCTACCCCTCAACCACCCTTTCCCAGTTCCGTGCTCCATTGAATTCGATTTAGTTTCTTCTCCGGCACTATCGATCGGTGCTGCATATTTGTTCTTTTTTCTTATCGTTCATCCCGTTTCTCTTATCAATTTTTCTCTAGAAACTCCTTCTTCCACCCGGCGTACCGCTGACTGCGAAAGGCACCCCCGCTCGATCCAGTTATACCCTCGTTTGCACATCCGTACGGTCCTGGCCCCTGTTGACTTTCCTTTTAGCCGTATTTACGGATCCCTTACTTGTTTCTCCCGCTGCTCGATATAATTTTATTTGCAACCACTCTCACCGTGTTTGCGATCCCTGCCTTGCCAAGTATCTGGTGCGAATCACCGGTATCCTCCAAATCACTCTCCTTCCACGTTTCTTCCTTCGCTACAAGATTCGTTTTATTTGCTAGCGTTTGAAAGATCGAAAAGGTGAGAACGGTATTGGGGAGAATGCTTTTTCAGTTTCAATGTCAGAGCTAGTGTAGTAAAACATGGTTTATAATTTTGGGAATGGAGGATTCCATTTGTAGCTTTTCCGACAAATAATTCGTACATAGAGGGTAAGATACTATATATGTTACATATGTAGTATTGTTAGTTATTGGGATAAGTTATACGGACGCACTTCTCAATCGAAAGCATCGCCAATATAATAATATTATTGTGGACCCGTCATTGGTATAGAGTTTGGCGATGGTTTATCAAAAGCGGTGCTCGCATAATCCATCAATTTTAGTTTAGAAAGAAAATAGTAGAGGGAAGATTTACACAAGCGATTAAAGTATCCAATTGTTAACATATCAGACATGAATTTTAGTCTATCATCATTTTCCACTTGAAACAGTGATTTCAGAACGATTGACTTTTTCCAGTCCACTTGAAAAAATATTTCCTCTTCATACATTTGTCCCTAATTATTCACTTTAACCTTTGATTGAATGAATCTCTTAAACATTAATCACAAAGATCCATTGTACAGAAATGGCCAAAAAGAAGAGAGAAGAACAGAATTGGATAAGATATTATATTAAATACATATTCTGTCTTGTATCAGTTGCATATCTACTCACAGAAACTTGAATATTTCTGCCCTGTAATCACTAACCCCTGTATTAGGACATAATTCTCACCGATTTTCTCTTATGAGATAAACCAGTGGTTCAACCACCATCAAAATTGATCCACCATTCCTCAAGCGGACGTAGTTAAATATACGACAGCCAGGCTGTCTTTTATAGCTTCATATTTTAACCTTTCCCGGGGCATACTCCCCCTTCCCTGTGTGCCTTCCTTCCGGTTTCTACGGCAGTTCCACGCTCGGGACGCTCTCGCTCGGTTTTCCTTTCCTTTGTTGCATCAGTAAACAGGTTAGCCAATTTTTCTAACGCAGGAAGCAGGAACGTGAGAGAAGCACTGGTATAAGAATGTATAGCAGGAGGAGAGAAGGCGAGCAGTTGCTTTAGATGTGCAACGTTTTACGTACTACATGCTCTAGCGTGCACCGGCGTACAATACACATGTACGTGTCGCGCATATTGTTCGAGCAGGTTTTTCGACCGAGATTAAGAGCGAGCATGTAGCTCGCGACTCTGTCCGGCCTAAGTATGCCAAGGATTACCGGTATGAACTTTTACGTTACAGCCCGCGAACGCAATAATCCGATAATACGTGCCGCGAACAGGAAACCAACCGTACCGTCTTATGCTGATACTACCCATGGTGACAGATTAACAGGGAGCAGCCCGAAAGTCACCTCAGGACTTGGTTTCTTGGTAACGAGAAATGTATAGTGTTCCAAAAATTAGAGGCTCATTTTTTCTCAAGGAATTCCACTTTGGAACAATTTTTGGGATTATAGGGTGATTTGTCGAATTTTTGACCAACCTACTGATATTGTGGATGTAATGAAAGATTTTGGATTATATGAAATAATTTGGTATTATTCGTTAGTATACTACGGATAATTTAAGCAAATAAGGAAAAGATTCGTATATTTACTTTCTTATTATAAACTGCAACGATAGAAGCATTTTCAGCAAGGAGATATTCATACAATTTTATAAATATTCGTACGAATTTTAATTTACGTCGGTGTAGAATATACATGTTTAGCAGGATGTTTGGAGGAAAATAACTTTAACAGTTTTGAATAAAATCCCTTCGGTTTGCCAATCAGTTGTAGTAAAATGATCGAATAACGAGATTAGCTGATTACGATTGTAAATGAATTAATTGCAAATAACATAGATAATTGCATTAACATTTCCTACAGATGTAACTGCGGACCACCGGTTTGAGTAACGTATAGCATCGCGATACGATCTGAGCAAACATTAGCTGGTTGCGAGACGAGCAACGGAAAAGTTCGTTTCCTTGATGCAACCGCGTTGTGCGTGAAAAAAACGGAAATAATTCGTTCTCCGATTGCCACGATTATTTTCACCTTGAACACGTCCAGCAATTAATCTGCGAGCGTTACAAGCACTTAACTTACGATCACGTAGAAATCGATCCACTGATGAATAAATACGAACGAGATAACTATTAAGCATCATAATC